GATGACAAAATCATTATAATAACACACATTACACATATACACATTACACTACCGACGAGGTTTTTGACTTGGAGACTGACAGATCTCAAAGATAGTGTATAAAAGATTTATTATGAAGCAAATAAAAAAATTGAAATCAAATGAAGAAAATAGAAAACGAAGTTATTTCAGACAATGGCTATTGTTATTGTAATATTTCAAGTGATGAAAATTACACATATAAAGATATTGGTAATTTACCAAAGATACCAAACGGGTATTCAAACTCACAAGTCGAGAACAAACTGGCATTGCCTTGGCAAAAAAAAAACCCAGACAAAACGATGAAAAGACATACAGCAGAACACAAAAAACAAAATAGAAAACTAAAGACTGAGCAACCCAAACCCCAACAAAAACTTGGGGTGATCTCAGGGTCTCTAAAATGGTAAGCAGATCCTGCTCTACATGTGATACCCGTCGTTTTACTCTATGGAAATATACCATTCCGTAGATATCGTTTATTTGGTGTGAATAAAAGACGCGAAGTATATTTAAATGTGACAGCAACCCAGATATTGTGCTTGACCAGTTTGCCTAACTGAAATTCTCTGTGGATGTTGTAATAAGCAAGGTTTACAAAAATAACACAATAATTTCTTATGACGATTCTGAAAAACAGAGAAATACTTTTAGGAAGAATCATTTATCGAATGAAACTTTCTTATCGTAATAAAATGCGTGTCAATCAAAGTTTTCGACAAAATGTACCAATTCAAACTCTTTATATCTGTTTTTTACTTTGAAATTTTTTATATGTTCGAAGATCTTTCTTTTTTTAGAATCTCGTTAAAGTTTGAATTTTTCTAAATTCTCCTGTTTTAGAGTTTTCAAATGGACTGCACAATTTCAATATTTCACCTCTTTGTGAAGTCAAAATAAAAAAATCCTTTCACTTCTGTGTGTCATCTTTTAACGTGTAATAGCAATAATCATAGATCAAAACAATACAAAGCGAACTTTCTATCTAAACTTTTCTTTCTCTGTGTTTTCTTCGTGATAGTTTCCGATTTATTAAGTTATTACATTTTATTAGGGATGTCAACTCGGTGAACAATTACTAATCGAGTACTCGTTGGTTTTATCGATCGATACTCGAGTACTCGCTCGGGAATATATCTACAACACGGAAACACCAAAATACGTATTTTAATTACATTTGTGGTTTGTTGTTAAACGGACAAAAAGCCATCTACATAAGTATCTAGGACAAAGAATTACACATCATAATTAATAGCTAATTACCTACAAGTACTAAGTATGTAAAACCAATACTCTAATCAATATAATTCAATGAATACCTATTTGAAAATTATAACAAGGAAACACCATACCAAACAATAGCATTTGGTAATCGTTCAGAAAACATATTTAATATTTACAAAGGATTAAGGATTAGAAGTTTAACTATTCACTGACGGTCGACCTAGGATGCAACGTTTTTTTTTATTTGGAAACATTTTTATCATTTTGGACAGTTGGTTTTGCAACTTTGTAAATTACAGTCTTGCAGACATGTTAAGTTTAAAGTGGTAGCCTAGGTATAGCACACTTACTTTCGGAGAATTTTAAATGACAGTTTAACACAAGCATTCGAAACAAAATGTATTTTATTTACTAGTTTGATTAATCAGTAATTCCTATTAAATTTTCCGAAAGAAGATCAATTTTATTTAAAGAAGACGGCAATATTTTACGGGAAACCGAGTAGTCGAGTATCGTTTTGGTATTCGATACGTGGTACTACCGAGCGATACTGGAATACTCGAGTACTCGTTGACATCCCTACATTATATGGTCATATGCTCAGGATTTCTTGCAGTTTACTGTCACCTCTTACTCATGTCCAACTCAAAAGACGGGGACACTTTTTGTGACGGATTTATATATTCGGTGGTGTTGATATTAACGCCTTTCTCTGAACTACCAAAAATTAAATTATCATTGCGGTTGGTCGTACATTTTTAGATACGTAAAAGGACAACAATTTAAAGACTTCATATTCAATGTTTTTTCTATTTACTTTTTTGCTGTGCATTTCTGATATTGTAGCCAAATAAGTGCAAGGTTTCTCTATTTTCAAGGTAATGGCCATTTACAGCTTTTGTCAAATATTTTGAAATGTTATATCGCATCTCGCTAAAAAGTGGTTGCTTTGATATGAAACAGAAAAGTTTCAAGAATAAAGTGTCTCATGTTAATAGGTCTGGTTAGCCTTGATCCTTAGGTTTTATCATTTATATCATACTTATATCACCAGTTTTCTAGTCGATATGACCACTAACCGTGTAAATCCTCATAACGGTTATCTATCTTCTGAATAAATTGTAATTAGATATGGAACAAACAATATTAATACAAATACTAGGCAATAGGATGAACGGACATGGAGCATAACATACTTATCCTTAAAGATTTTCTGTTTTTCTGAATAAGTTGTTGTTCTGTTTGCATCTTATGGTGCAAGAAATGGAACAGGACAGGACTAACCGTCAGGGGCAACTGTTTTATCCATAGTTTGCTTGGTATGAGTATTGATTTGAATCGTTATTCTTATACTCAAACTGACACTCTCAAGATGTGTCATTGATAAATATGTGCGAAGCAATGGAACATGTGTATATTTACACATGTTGCGAAGAAAACAAAAGTACAAAACAAGTAATTCAAAATTCACAGAAGTTGTTTGTTTTGTCTTTTGTTCCTAATTAATGGAATTGTTTGTCTTTATTCTACTAACGGTCTTGTATTGGACTCAATTGGTATCTTCTTGACTTTTATGAATTATCTTCCATGAAGGTGCATAGCTTGTCTACTTAAATTTTAACACTCTGTTTTTCGAACTTGCGAAATATAGTTGAGGATGTCACTTCCTAACCTACTAACTGGTAGTCGTTGTATTATCATGACAATATAAAGTTTGTTGTAGATCGCATTAGACGACAGTCATAAACGAGGCAAAATTGACATGCGTACTGCTAGAACAAATTGAAACTAGTAGTGTTCATCTATAAAACAGGTATTCCGTAACGGACAATCATGTTATGCTGTTGCTCGTAAAATTGTAGAAGAGATGATTGCAGTTTATCCATCAAGCAGTATTGGTTATACATTTTCATTGAAAGCAGCTACCTTCTTGCAATGCATCACTAACATAAAAAACAAGTTTTTTATTATCTCAACTTAGAGATATAAACTACTGAAGTATGATTTGAAAAGAAGTTCTAAGATAGCAACTTAAAGACATTCAATTTTTTTTCATCTCCTATGATTCTCTGTTTTCTACTCACACATATTTTGTCAAGTATCTTTTTAGAAATTAAACTAAGAATAAAAGAAATGTTAAGTAAACGTAAATGTAACAGTAGCATACACAGCCTATACATATACAAAAAAAGAAAAGGTATATAAAACATGTTTAAATATGGATGTGTACTAAGGGTCCCATGAGCCATAAAAGTTGAAGTATTAAAAAATGAGGAAGTTGTTATAAAAAGATATAACTGATAAGTGTCTGGATATACCTTTAACTTTATTTTCTACAAAAAATTACAAAAAATGTAAATTTTTACACATTTGGTGAATCGGAAAGATTGAGCACATTATGGTCTCAAGTACATATCTATATTTTATTTATTTTATATGAAGAGGTGTTATTCTTCTAGACAAAAGATAAAGTAAATTATTAAGTTGGTACTCTCATGTGAGCTATATTTGCGGCTCAAACAAATATTTGAAAATTGAAATGAATGCGTGTTACAATGGATGAGTTGAACAGAAGGACTTTTTCAAACACAACCACTACATCTATTGCGACGTCATGTATCGTATAGTATATGTCTTTTTATGTAGTATGTCCTCGTTTTAAAAAATCATTTACATGTAACTGGATAATACACTCATCATAGATACAATGATTAAAATTGTGTACGCCAAACGCGCGTTTCGTCTACAAAAGACTCATCAGTGACGCTCGAATAATTTTATTTTAAAGTGGCAAAAAAAGTACGAAGTTAAAGAGCATTGATGACTGAAAAATCCAAAATGTTTTGCCAAATACAGCTAAGGTAGATAATATGGATTAAAAGTTCAAATTTCAGTGAAAAATTTGTCCATTTTTCATTGACCTAAGAAGCTTTATAGTAAAACATTTAAGTGGAATCATTAAAAGTTTATCAGATGATACTATTTTGTATGAATTTTCCAATCACTGGAACACGATCGCTCTTATTATTATTAAAAAAATAAGGGGGGAGGGGTGGATTCCAACAACATCCGGACCCCCCTTGGATCTGCCAATGATGTATTGATTGAGTAAACTATACTTGAGGCCACGATATAAACGAGGAAACTAGCATCCTTGAAAAATATATTACAATGTTTAATAGTTTTATAGGACAACGAAAATCACAGTCAATTTATGTACACATTTCAAATTACATGAGTTAGGTTTTGAACAAATAATTTGAATAAAGATATTACAAATTGCATGAGGAAAAAATGTCCTAATTTTCATATTCAGTATCTATGAAAAATGTTTACAGCTTTGTTTTCTGGTTGTAATAAATTTCTGCACAAAAAAATCGTTCAAGGGATGTCTCTCCTTTATGAGTTCCTATCATTGCGATTCAGGATTCTTGTTGTGGTAGAAATTGGTTAAAAGACGACATTTTTCTCATTATTTTCCAATTGAGGATTTGCAATTTACACAAATTTCCTTTCACAAACTTTTCTGTAAATATTTGCTACTACGGCATAAAACATTGAAGCGTCAAAACTAATAATCATTACCAATGGAATCAATATCAGAGCGACACCTACATAACCTACAAATGCAGCAGACGGTCTATCGTCAAGTGCTGATATGCGTTTTCTGATAGTAGCAGACATGTTTTCTGAGTCGATTGTTAAGTTGGTCTTCATTTCATTCAACTCTTCCTTCATCATTTCTTTAAGATCATTCTTTGTTAAGTTTAGCTCTTTCAAATGTCCCCATTTATAAACTGAATAAAAAAATGTATCTTGTAGATTCGATTTCAGGCTGGTTAAAATTATAGTAAATATCTAAGATTCATTAATATACAATATAATAATCTTCTAGCATTCATTCAAACATCTGCTATATATCATAAACATAAATTCGCCAGAGAGCAATTTTTATTGGTGTCGTGAAGCATCCAAACAAGAACTTTGATACCCTACGATAGGCTTAATGTTATATACTTGACAAAACAATAGTTATGTATAAAAGTATTTAAGAAAGCGCACTATGTGGTTAGACATTCTAGTACTCGGTCTAGTAAGAGCAATAAAAAAAAGTAAAATCAAACATATAATCAGTGCAATTTTGGGGGCAAATGAGACATAGCTGAAACCCAAAGAAAACAAATACTGAAGATTCTATGTAATATCATGATTAACACAAAATTAATCATTACAGTTTGGACATAGCATACACTATATGACAGAATTTAAAAAAAAATATAAATCGATGATAGATAATACATCAAATGCAACAATGTACCACTGATAGAACTCAAAAAATGGTTCTGCCCAGTGCTCTCAGAAAACAGTTCATTAAACTTTATCTTCTGAAGTCCCATTTGACAAATCATCCCTGACAGCCAAACGATGGAAAATTCAAAAATAATATGATGTGGTATGATAGCCTATGAGACAAACCTCCACCAGAGCCCAAATGACATAGAAGTTCACAAGTTTAAGTCCCCTATAGCCTTCAATCATGAACAAAACCCATGTCGTATAGTAAGCTGAAAAGATCCCCAAATTTTAAACAATTTAAACGAGATAACGTACGGCCTGATTTATGTACAAATCAATAAACAAAAACAAATATGATATAAAGCAACAAATGACAACCACTTAGTTAAAGGTTCATTACTTGGGACAGGCATTTACAGAATATGGCGGGGTTAAACATGTTTGCGGGCGCAACACTATCCCGCTTTATATAAGAAATTCAGATTGTTAACTTACTTGAATAAGAAATTCAGATTTTTAACCTGCTTGAATCAGAAATTCAGATTTTAACCTGCTTGAATTAGAATTTTAGATTTATAATCGATTGTCATATATAATTTACATGTAGATGTCTCTTTTGGAAAACTTGTGTTATATGGCTGTCTCGAAAACGTTTGCCCCATGTCTTTCGTTTTATAACTGTGAAGTAGAATAGATATAGATCTCAAAATGTGTCACACGATAAAGCTTCCCATATCATTTTTGCAACCAAATACCAAGAAGTTCTAATATAGAATTGGTGTCGTGAAGCATGCAAACAAGAAATTTGATACCCTACGATAGGCTTAATGTTATATACTTGACAAAACAATAGTTATGTATAAAAGTATTACCAAAAATATCAAACTCCAAGGTAAATTCAAAAAGGGGAAGTGTATTAAAACTGACAAAATCAAACGTAACACTGTATCAACCAACAAAACAAATGGAAAACAACTGTCATATTCCTGACTTAGTACTGGCATTTCCGAAGAAAATAATGGTTTAAGCCTTATTTTATAGCTAGCTAAACCTTCAACTTGTTTAACAGTCGTTAATAATTCCGTTATATTGACAAAATTGGATGAGCAACCCAAAAAGACATAATTGGTTAATGCAACAATAATTGGAATCCAGCAGCCAAAACTATGTAAAAATACGTCACAGATATACAACACAACTAACAAAACAATTTAAACAAACATACGTATAAATCCGACAAAGACACAAAAAAAAAAGTTTTGGTAGTTGATACGACATGATATATAAATGACATATAGCTTGGAGGGTGTTAGAGCAGATTGTTACCCCGAGAAAACATTGTCAACCGCGGCAAAGACAAGGTTGACAATGTCTTTTCAAGGGGTAACGATCTGCTCTATCACCCTCTGAGCTATGTGTTATTAAATTTATCTGTTATTACTGTCTAATAAATTTCATAAACTATAACGTCTTATACATAACAACCATCCGTATTTAAGAAAGCGCACTATGTGGTTAGACATTCTAGTACTCGGTCTAGTAAGAGCATTAAAAAAAAGTAAAATCAAACATATAATCAGTGCAATTTTGGGGGAAAGTTTACTGTTTTCCGATAATACTGTCGTGTATAGAAAACATAAAACATGCAATTTTCTCCCTAAATTGTACCGATTGTAAGCTTGATTTTACTTCTTTAAGTTGCTCTTACTTGACCGGGTACCAGATCATTGACTATTGATCAAGCGTCTCCGTCAAGGGTAATAGAATATTTGCCATGGGATAGAGTATATTGTCTCCCTCGTAATAACCAAACAAAATCTCGCATTTTGACATGAAGTATGATAAAACATAATGCCATACAAGTATACACTTTCCAGATAAACTACAAATTAAGTAATATATACTCGACAAAACAACCCATGGAAGAAATGATGGCGCATTGATGTATTCCTGACGTGATTGGTTGATAATATTACTTTCAACGAGCCGACGACTCGTTGAAGGATGTTTTATTTTACCTAACATGGCACTTGTATGACAACTTAATCTACTTCGAAAGCCATCTCAGTTGAACAGAAAACGTCAGACGCAAATGAGACATAGCTGAAACCCAAAGAAAACAAATACTGAAGATTCTATGTAACATCATGATTAACACAAAATTAATCATTTCAGTCTGGACATAGCATACACTATATGACAGAATTTAAAAAAAAATATAAATCGATGATAGATAATACACCAAATGCAACAATGTACCACTGATAGAACTCAAAAAATGGTTTCTGCCCAGTGCTCTCAGAAAACAGTTCATTAAACTTTATCTTCTGAAGTCCCATTTGACAAATCATCCCTGACAGCCAAACGATGGAAAATTCAAAAATAATATGATGTGGTATGATAGCCTATGAGACAAACCTCCACCGGAGCCCAAATGACATAGAAGTTTACAAGTTTAAGTCCCCTATAGCCTTCAATCATGAACAAAACCCATGTCGTATAGTAAGCTGAAAAGATCCCAAAATTTTAAACAATTTAAACGAGATAACGTACGGCCTGATTTATGTACAAATCAATAAACAAAAACAAATATGATATAAAGCAACAAATGACAACCACTTAGTTAAAGGTTCATTACTTGGGACAGGCATTTACAGAATATGGCGGGGTTAAACATGTTTGCGGGCGCAACACCATCCCGCTTTATATAAGAAATTCAGATTGTTAACTTACTTGAATAAGAAATTCAGATTTTTAACCTGCTTGAATCAGAAATTCAGATTTTAACCTGCTTGAATTAGAATTTTAGATTTATAATCGATTGTCATATATAATTTACATGTAGATGTCTCTTTTGGAAAACTTGTGTTATATGGCTGTCTCAAAAACGTTTGCCCCATGTCTTTCGTTTTATAACTGTGAAGTAGAATAGATATAGATCTCAAAATGTGTCACACGATAAAGCTTCCCATATCATTTTTGCAACCAAATACCAAGAAGTTCTAATATAGAATTGCTGCTAAAATGCTATGAATTTTATATATGTTCATTAATGCGGAGACCATACAAGGATGTTCAAAACGGAAAGTAGATAGGTCTGAAATCTGAAATTGTCTCATACTTGATAACTTACCAATTTTTAGGTTGGTACAAAATATCAAGAAGCTCGGTTTTGTAGATGCGGTGAATAATTCGAAATGGAAGCGTTGTTGATGGATGGGAGATCCTACTTTTCTGATCAAATTTATTGTTCACAGTTGATATTTTTATATTTTGTTACACTTAAAAAAAAACAACTGGATAAAAATCGTCGTTGAAGGGCAACAACTACAATAAAGATTCTGCTTGTCATTGCATTGTTTTCATTATTTAAATCATTCTAAGGAATTGCTGGTTCAAACTAATTAACATAGTCTCATTGGCAACCATTCCAAATCACATAATTTTTAATGCTTTGTTATGTCTTGATAAGACACATTGAAAACAAAGTATACTATTTATCAATTATATTATTTCAGTCCAATTTAGACGCGCTTCTTCCAAGGGATTATTAAGTTACACGCAAAAGCCTTTTAAAAAGGCCATTTAGGCTTTTGTCATTACTAAGTGGCCGTCGTCTTTCTGTTGCTGTAAATTTAAAAAAACAGCTTCCCCTATGAAACTATTGGACTAACTGTTACTAAATTTTCCCGGAATGTCCCATAGGAAATCTAGTTTAAAAGTGTATTCATGGATGTAATTAATTACAAACACTACTGTTGTTTCTTAATATCGAACAAAGGGGCAACATGCAGTTTTTGGCATTTATCGCAAAATCTAAAGCAGCTAATACAACTCTGACAGGGGTGAAATGACTTGCAGGTCAAGGTCTATGTAATATGGAATGTTTATAAAATCTGAAACTTATCGATAGATTTTCATAGATAGCAAAAAACGTTGATTAGTTAATAGTGACCAGAACAATAAGATCTATACAAAAATTGTCATTGTAAATCGAAATTATAATAAACAAAAATGTTCAGTAAAATACGATTTACAAATAGGTCAACATGGCTGAAATCATCAATTGAAAAAGAATGTTACCCCTATTTAGCTTTTTTTTGCAGAAACTATAATAGATAGATTCCAATTGTGAATAACGCAAATGTTCAGCAATACAATCTAGATATAATTCAACATCTCCTAAATAGTCAATTGACTTCATTTAGGAGTTATTACCCTTAAAATACATTTCTTGCCATTTTAAAATTTTTTTTTTTTTTTTTTTTTTTATCTCTAACGGGAATTGTACATGTTTATGTGCAGAAACTATAAAATATTAAGAGACAATTATAAATAGTAGACATGTTGAACAAAATAAAAGGTTTAAAAATAGGTCCACATGGCTATATCAGCAGTTGATCTTTTATGGGAATACTCGTCCTTTAGGAGATCTATACCCCTTAATGCGGTTGTTTTTGAAAAACTATTATTGTGATTATAGAAAGAGAGAAATTGTAATTAGGGAAAATGTTCAGCAAAATAACATCTGCAAATAATTCACGTGGTTGAAATTGTCAACTGATCATAATAGGAGTTATTACCACTGAAAGACAATTTTTACCATTTATATTTAATGTTGTTTTGCAAAAATATAATAGATAAAGAGGAGTTGTGAACTGTAAAATTATTCAACAAAATAAGATTTACAAATAAGTCAACATGGGCGAAATCATTAATTGATTCATTATCATAATTATAGGAGTAAGTGTCATTGAAAACAATTTTATCTCTTTTTTGCGTTTTTTGCCGAAACTATAGATGATAGAGTGAAATTATGAATAACGAAAATATTTAGCAAAAATAAAAATTATAAATACCAAAATGTTATATATGGTATGATCTACAAATAAGTCAGAACGTCCTAAATCTTCGATTAACCAACTATAGGAGTTATTGCCCTAGAGAGACAACTGTTTCTCCATTTTTGCGTTTTTTGCAGAAACTATAGTAGCTGGAGAGAAATTGAAAATAACGAAAATGATCAGCAAAAAAGGATTAACAAAGAGGTAAACCTGGCCAAAATTGTCAATAATGCCCTTATAAAAGATATCCCCATTTATATTAAAAGACTATTCATCTCACTTTGGTTATGTTTTGGCAGATATTATAATAAATGAAGAGAATTTGTAAAAGGCAAAAATATTAAGCAAAATAAGATCTACAAAAAAGTCAAATGGACAAAATTGTCAATTGACCCCTTATAGGAGTTATTGTCTTTGAAATACAATTAAAAGTATTTTTTTATTTCTTGGAGAAACAATAATAGATGGGGAGAGACACTGTAAACAGCAAAACCGTTCAGCAAATAAATCAACTTGGCCTAAATTGTCGATTGGTCCATTATCATGCTTGTGGGAGTTATTGCCCTTGAAAGTAGATTTGTTACCCTTTTTGTGTTTTTTTTGTAACTATAGTAACTATAGTAGATAGAGAGAGGTTGTAAAAGAGAAAAAATAATTAGCAGAATAAGATCGAAAAATAAGTATATTGGTCGAAATTGTCAATTGACAACTTATAGGAGTTATTCCATTGGAAGACACTATCCTTACTTATGATTTTTGCACAAACCATTTCAAGAGATAACCAGAGACTCTAAAAAGCAAAAGTGTTAAGCAACATGATCTATATATAGGTCAACTTGGCCTAAACGGTCAAGTGACCCTTTTATGAGTTTTGGCCCTTGAAAGACAATTCTTGCTAATGTTTTTGAGTTTTTTTGAAGAAACTATAATTTAGGATAGAAATCGTAAAAAGCTAAAATGTTCAGCAAAATAAGATCTCTAAATAAGTCAAAATAACCGACATTGCAAATTGACCCCTCATATTGTCAATTGAGTTGATTGACCGTTATCGAATATCTGTGTCACAGATGCAAAAGGATCTGTTCTAATTATGGTTACAACAATCCCGACCTCTCTTCCTGGATTGTGACATCACCCGATTTGTACTTTTAATAAGCAACATGACTGCTGCACACTAGTGGAGCAGGATCTGCTTATTCTCTCGGAGCACATATGATCACCCCAAATATTGTTTTTGGTTAGTTTTCTATGAAGTGTTTTGTGGAATCTTTTTGTTGTCTTTTATCTTTTTCCGTGGCGTAGTCAGTTTTATTTCGACGTTTTAATATTTCCTTGATATCTTTCGCCTCTTGTTTATAGGAGTTAAATAGCCTTTTCCTGTCATCTCATAAGCTATTAAAGAAAAGAAGAAACTTGGAACAGCAATAAAAGAAGTCCACAAATGCTTAATTGCAAAAAAACTGCAATCATTTGATGACTGGATAAGGGGACACTGACCTACGATTTTTAAAAACTTATTTCGGGTTTCTGCTTTTTACTTCGAAAACTATAATGATTCGTAGGATTTCGACAGTAGATTAAATCAGGCTCTTAGGAACCTTTTGTTTTCTTTCCCTTTTGAAATTTTCGATGGTTTGTAAGTCAGTTAAAGTTCAAAAATAAGTTAATATTGACATCAACTTATCATTTAACTCTCACTTTTAATAAAACTGTTTCTTAAATTGAGCTATATGGATTTAATATACCTGGACACTCTTTAATGATGCACTGAACAGAAGTCACATTTTCCCCAGCACATTCGACTCCATTATTACTTGGAGCTGGATTATTGCACCTTCGTTGCCTTATCTGCGTCCCATTGCCACAAGAAGTTGAACAGTGACCATCATCCTCCCAACAGCTCCATGATCCTACAAGTATTGATGATTTATCCAACAAATTGAATACTTTGGTGTAAAATTTCTGTTAGTTTTATCTGACAAATTTTTTAAAAGACTGTTATAATTTGATAGTATTTGAATAAAGCGTACGGGACTATTTAAATGATAAGTCCGTGTCCATGTTTTTGAGATATAAGACATTGAAAATTTGACGGGAAATAATTGGCACCTTCTTCATTAAAAAAACTATGAAAATATAACAAAGATTTATAAAATTTTCAAATATGACTGTTAAACCATATGCAATAAACTTATGAAATGGAAAGTAAGGGTTAAAAGGCACAATTGTAATGGAACTACATTAATAAAACCAGAGTATTCCGAATATCTGACAAAACGTTTAAAACAAGATAAGCGAACATCCTTAAGATAAAATAAGTGGCACAGTGGAATGTGTACATATTTGCAATAAAGATAACATTGAAGGAATGTTCTGACGATTTACTAATATATTACCCAGTATATATATATTTTTTTTCATTACATATATGACACCGCTTGAGGACGTTTGTCTCCTCGGTTACCACCAGCTAGCTCAGAAGTCAGCACTTATGTGCCGACATAAAATATAATTTATTATCAATAACAGTGCAAAAAATTTAATCGTTTGAATGTTGTTGTTTTACGCAAACCTCAGCAACCTTGGCTTTATCATGGTGGTTAGTTTTATAGGAGGAGAATTTAAAAAGTGCCCAGTAGCCATGACTAGAAGGAAAAAGACAAACAAACAACAGTACACAAAACATAACATAGAAAACTAAATACTGAGCAGCATATCTGTTTTTCGTTTATTGCATTGTACATTAATCAGACAATTAGTTATCTCGTTTGACTTATTTTGCATTTGTCATTTCGGCTCCTTTTATAGCTAGCTGTGCGGTTTGAATTTTGCTCATTGTTAAAGGTCATATTGTGACCCATTGTTGCTTACTTCTACGTCATTTGGTATCTGGTGGAGATTCTCTGATTGGCAACCATACCACATCTTCTTATCTTTATATGGTTCATACGATGATGACACTGGTAATTTAAGATACAATGTAGCTTCATACCTGGACATCCACGTAGGTTGCATGTTCTGTTTTCTATGTTTTCACCATCACAATCAGTAGCCAAATGGCCCGGTAATGGATGGTTACATTTTCTGGTAAATAACATTTGTCCTTCGTCACAAGAAGTAGAACATTCACCAAATTGTGTCCAGTTGCCCCAAACACCTTGAATATATTAAATGAAATACCCTGTATCTCAGTGCCTCTTTTAACAAGTCCTTGTGTACTTTATACAAACTCCCAATTCATTTGTACCAGACGAATATCAATGGAGATGTCCTTTATATGGATTTTACAAGTTGGACAGTTAGGAATGTGTTTGAGAAAATCATAATTAGATATAAGAAGATGTGGTATGATGTGGTATGAGTGCCAATGAGATAACTCTCCATCCAAGTCACAATTTGTAAAAGTAAACCATCATAGGTCAAAGTACGGCCTTCAACACGGAGCCATTTCTCACACCGAACAGCAGACTATTTAGGTATAAAACCACTAATTCATAGCCCCATTGCTTTCTATGTTAAATTCTGCAAATTCAAGCATTAATGGCTACTTTGTCTTAAGTTCAAATAAAGTGGCAGTTATTTCATGTCAAAACTGTACCTTATTCTGACTTGTGCTGAAAAAATCAACATACCTTTAATTGCATATTAGAGCGTACTGATTCCCGGAAGTTTGATAGTACAAAAACAGGAACTTCTGATCTGAACAACAGGCCAAATGAGCCCTCCTATTAAAATTTCATAAACTTCTTTATTATTAAAATAAAACTTTCAATAAGAGTTCTACAGTGATCCCAAGTCCCCAAGCTTTCATTTGATACTAAAACTACCCAAATATTCCAACTATTGACAAAGATACAGCTATGCGTAGTACCTATTTTGTTTACAATATGTACTACTTTCTTGTATGTTCTTTCCGACCGGGCCTGAATTAGTGGTTCTATACCTATAACAGCACCAAACTTGTTATATTGACTTCTGCTTGACTTAATTTCCTTCTATGATCTATTTCTAGCATAGAAAAACACATCAAGCTTTTGTCAAAACACTATATCACTGAATTCAAGCTTAAATTGGACTGGTAGTAGCATATGCGTTAAACAAAGAAAACTACTTATGGATACTAATAGTGACAAATATAACACTTTTTCAATTTTTCCCAGCTCTGATTTGTTAATATCTACTCAAATAACAGTGTTCTTACCTATATGTTTATTTTTATCAGAGATTCTTCCTTCAATATAAATACAGTGGTCCAAACATAAAATATAATTGATAATTTTGTCCCCCCTTTTTTCTACATGTTGGAAAAGAAGAGTGATTTGGTAAAAAAACATACTTTTATGTATAAACATGGATCAACAAGAGCAATTTATGTATCTCCAAGCTAGACAACTTGCTAAAATGGTTATAAAATGCATTTCAAGTGAGATTTTGGATTTCCTACATAAGTATACACCAATTTTCCTTGAAATAAGTAATTCACTAAGAAACACAATAAAACATGAACACTCACTAGATAATTTGACCAAAAACAATATTTATACTGTAAACTAGTCATGATATACAAGTCATTGGTTTCAGTGTTAGATAATCCAAAAATTAAAATTTCGGGTAAAATCTTAACTGTGTGCATGCTAAATGACCAAAAAAGGCTAAAATACCTTATTTTAGCAATTTGAGGGTTGTAACTTGACACTAACATAATTGTTACATAAAAAAAATGATGTAACATGATTTCTGACAACAAATGTGACCAATTTTCACTGTAAAGGGTATGATTTCTAAAAATAGAATTTCACATGCCTGTCAGTAATAGGTATAAAACCACTAATTCATAGCCCCATTGCTTTCTATGTTAAATTCTGCAAATTCAAGCATTAATGGCTACTTTGTCTTATGTTCAAATAAAGTGGCAGTTTTTTCATGTCAAAACTGTACCTTATTCTGACTTGTGCTGAAAAAATCAACATACCTTTAATTGCATATTAGAGCGTACTGGTTCCCGGAAGTTTGATAGTACAAAAACAGGAACTTCTGATCAAAACAACAGGCCAAGTGAGCCCTCCTATTAAAATTTCATATACTTCTTTATTATTCAAATAAAACTTTCAATAAGGGTTCTACAGTGATTTCAAGTCCCCAAGCTTTCATTTGATACTAAAACTACCCAAATATTCCAACTATTGACAAAGATACAGCTATGCGTAGGAACTATTTTGTTTACAATATGTACTACTTTCTTGTATGTTCTTTCCGACCGGGCCTGAATTAGTGGTTCTATACCTAAAGGGCCCTAAAAATGACTGGTGTAAAACCATTCAAACAGGAAAACCAACGGTCTAATCTATATAAAAAACGAGAAACGAGACACACTTATAAACCACTTCAACACATCAATGAAATGGCTTAACTCAATCAATCAATAAGTCAATTTTTCCTAGACATACAAACTTAGAATATTAATTTTAGTGCTCACATATTAGACAACAAAATCAAATTATCAAATGACCATATATCACAGGACAATTAAATACTTCTGTTTGGCCATATACTTTTTTCATGATTTCCTTGATAGAGGGTTGCTGCTCACAAGGAAGCTATTAAACCAAGAGATTCAAGTGGTGAAGTTGAAATCACCCCTTCGTAAATTTTACGGTCGCCATCACGAGTTTGTTGACCGTTATGGAGTATCCGTTTCACAGATGACAACGAATATGTTCCAAATGTCTTAACTACAATCCCATCCCCTTTTCCCCCAATATGATCTACCGAGTTAGACTCATCACCAGGTTTGTACTAACATGAGCAACATGACGGGTGCCACATGTTGAACAGGATCTGCTAACCCTTCCTCAGCACCTGAGATCACCCCCAGTATTTGGTGGGGTTCGGGCTGCCTAGTCTTTGGTTTTCCATGTTATGTTTTGTGTACTGTTGTTTTTCTGTTTGTCTTTTTCTATTTCAGCCATGGCGTTGTCAGCCTATTTTCGACTTATGAGTTTGAATGTCCCTTCGGTATCCTTCGCCTCTTTTTTCGCACTTCGCAATTAGTGAATCAGGCAGTGTTCTTCATTATTTATTCTGTAGTTATATTAACATGTACAAAGATATGTTTTGTAATTTTGAGGTCATAGAAAACATGATTACATAGTCATTTTGTATTTGGATTTCAGTATCGTTTGAATTCAAAAGCTGAAATATACAATTTATATATATAGATCTTTGTATGATCTGATCTGAACATCTCACCATAACCTTGTTTTTGAGAGACATGTTTACACTTCAAAACAAATAAATGACACACCGTTAGCTACCGCTGATGAAATGTTGTAAAGTTGTCAGATATTCCTTTTCGGAATCTTGCATTGAAATTGTTTAGATCGTCCTCAGGGCAAATATATTTACAGACAACCCAACAATGACATGAGTTGCGTCGGATAGAAATCGGCTTATGCAAGTGCACGTTGACATGTACATGTGTAAGACTATGATAGATTATATAACATTCAAATACGAAATAAAAGATGAATTTTGAACTGCTTTGTAGGGATCTTATGACAACTCAATTTCCAAACAGTTACAGACTTTCCTTGGAAATTTTTTCAACCCGAAATAGCTTTACAGATGTATTTGAATTCATTTGCATAAGGTCGATGTCTATCCAACGCAGCTCACATCGTATGTATGTACCTGTACATCCTGTATAGCCTGTGCATGGTAATGTAAAGGACTTAATATCATCTTGATCACACCTTGCATGAAACTGTTGAGTTCCATTGCCACAATCATTTGAACAAACTTCTAGTAAATTGTAGCACACTACAAAACAAAATTTTAATTTCATTTCCTTTCATCTAAAGTTTAAATATTTTTTTAATGGTGTTTCGTTTTAGTAGAGTATTGTTAGTTAACTCATGTATATTGCTAAAATGTATCAGTCTCTCCTTTTCAATCAATACGAAACTTACTTACTAGCACACAAATTTTATTTAGGGGCCAGCTGAGGACCACATTTGGTGGCCTCCGGCTGTTGTCTGCTCTTTGGTCGGGTTGTTGTCTTGGACATATTCCCCATTTCCATTCTCAATTTTATTCCTGTCAACACATTTTGTATACTGATATTTATCTAGGAAGCCTGATTTATTATTTAAATATAATTGGCTTTGGAGTACCTTTCATTAACTGCGAGTACTCTCAAGTCGGTATTTTGCGTCTTTTGTCTCATTTTGTTAAATGTTTGTCCATTGTGTCGATTTGGTGAGGCTAACTGATTTTTACACTTTTATTATTTATTATATGAAAATAAGAGGAATTTTGAAGTATTTGTCAACCCACGACAAATACACCTGAAGGTCAACAAACATTTACGGGTTAAAAAAAGACAAGTTCTAAAATTATAAGTATATGTATCTTTTAATCGAGAACTGCCATCGACCAAAGATTCCCGAAATGTTGTACTGCTATCCCAAGTTGGGAATGTATGAACTCGCAAAGATGTTTGACTGACTCCGCCACATTCGGTAGGTGCTTGTTCAGTAGTTGTTATTGGTTGATGTTTGCCATAATTGTGTTTCGTGTATGGTTTTTTACATAAATCAGTCCGTTGGTTTTCTCGTTTAGGTGGTTTACTTTTCGTCATGTCAGGGCATTTAAAGCTTACTATAAAGTATGGGTTTTGCTCATGGTCGAATTCCGTACGGTGACCTACAACTGATTTATCTACGTCATTTGGACTCTGGTAAATGGTTCCTTGGCAATCATATGACATAAAGGACAATTTTCGCAAATTCTAAAACCCATGACAAAGCTAAGTGTAATGCTGAAAGCACATATAACGTAAATGAATAATAGTGAGGGTAGGTTATGTTTGTCGCGAACTAATACATCATACCTTTTTTCTATCATCCTCCTTACTAAAATATAATAAATTATGTTTTTAATTTTTCTAGATTTGTCTTTAATAATCAAAGTAGATTAACATTTTTTTTTAAAGTGAAATAGTAGGAAAGGAATGTTACAAATTCCATTTGAAAACTTATATTGTATTGCATTTTTTGTGTTAAACTATAGTGAAATTCTTAGTGGCCTGGTAAAATATTTGCAGATTGGAAAACACAACTGACATAACAATTGGTATGCTAGAATGGTGTCTTCAACTTTTGCCAACATTTGAAAAATATATATTCAACCTATACAAACAAACAAAATACAATAGGTGTTTGGGTTAAGTATGTAAGTACTTTGCTTTGTGTAAATAGAAAGACGTGTGTATATTCAAACTCTGTTTACTAGCCTCACTCAACACGCGTTACATCATTGCTAAATAAGGATATTACGTTAGATATGTAATAATAGGTGTTGAATGAATGGATGAATATTTTATTTGCAAAAACTTACAGAACATGCTATGGCAATACATAATACATACACAATGTGACAAAAGGCTGATAACAGAGAACAATACAATAATAACATAACTAACCAATAATATCAGATCTAGCTTTCCATGCATTCTTTAAATAGTTACAGAGCTTAATTATAAGCGATCTAGAATAAGCTTTCAACAAACAAGATAGTTTAAAAATATAAGGCCATGAACAATAATAGCGAGGCAGAAAAAAAACTCTAATTGCCCGATATGCTGGACATACCAATACAAAATAGAATTCATTCTCAACACATTGCATTTTACAACATATACATCAACGCATTTCTCTTGGTATATCAGAGAAGCGACCAACTTCAACATTTAGTTTCAAAGTACCACTTCGTAGTTTTGTAAGAATGTGAACATTATTAATGTAGCTTAATATTATTATGTTATTATAAACAGAAATTATGTACTTCTGGAATTACTCTTCACATCATGCAGACCAAATTACGGAAGTTGAGGGAAATAGTGACGTGGAAAACATTTGATAAAAAAATGAAAGTCATGATGCTACATTGTTTCTTTGCTTAGATATAAGCTGTACTTAACTGTATGTCTGATTTTTAAATTCTCATAGCAGTATTCTAATAGATATGATCTAAACGCCCAATTTTGTTCAAGAAAATTCTAGCATAAAATGCGTAAGCACAAAAAAACTCCAAAGAAAATTCAAAACGGAAAGTCCTTTATCAATCGGCAAAATCAAAAACTCGAACACATCGAACGAAAGAAAAGCAACTGTCATATTCCTGACTTGGTACAGGCATTTCCGTATGCAGAAAATGGTGGATTAAACCTGGTTTTATAACTAGCTAAACTTCTCACTTGTGTTTAGTGTATGTTGACTCAATGTCAGATGAACTTTCTAGTCTGGGAAGGACACCAACCTTATTTATTGTACTTCCTGATAAGTCAATTCGTCAAAAAGGTAAGCGTCCCTTTCTGAATAGAACTGATTTTCCGTATAAGCTTGACTGCAGTTACTATTTGAATCATAACTTTTTAAATAAATAACAAACAAAAAAACCTACAAAGAGAGACTATAGAAGGTTTGATAAAAAAAATCTGAATTTTGTCCAAAACTTTTCTTTTCTATAATGTCTGTAAGCCAAATTGATTTGAAGATTTTGTAAATTTTTAACTGTCAAATTCTTCAAATCAGTGAATTAAATTCACATTAAGGCCGTTAGCCCGAATAGGTGTATATAATTAAAAATCATGACATTATTGTCAATTCAAAATGATACTTTTCAATAACTTAGGAGACGGGTCTTTCAGCAATTTGACCATATGTTATTGAAAAGCATAATAAAAAGTAAAATAACAAAAATACCGAACTCCGAGTAAAATTTTAAACGGAAAGTCCCCAAGCAAACGGCAAAATCAAAAGCTCAAACACATCAAACGAATGGATAATAACTGTCATATTCCTGACTTGGTACAGGCATTTTCTTATGTAGAAAATGGTGGATTAAACCTGGTTTTATAGCTAGCTAAACCTCTCACTTGTATGACAGCGGTGCAGGGTATCCAAATTCATTTAACGACATCTTGTTGCAAGTGATTTTAAATGTTTATGAACAATAATTGTTATAGCAATTTGTTAATGGAATTAAACGTAAATTTGTTTCGAACATTGTTTGAAAAATTTAAAATGTTATATGAGAATGCCTGATTTTTTCGACATGTTCATTAATTTTTAACCTCTAATTTTACATTTAGGCTATCAATATTATCATGACAATTTAAATGTAATTTAAAATACGTTTCTAAAAAGCAGTTCTGTCTTATTCTTTTGATAACATGTGCAAAAACACACAACAATATATGCATACCAGTGTTTTCAACTGTTTTTTCAGAATACTCGTATACTGGTCATATTTACTATACCATCAATATAGAATGCAAAGTTGAAATTAAACAAGACTTTGGCAGATCATGCATTGAGCCCTACCTATTTAATGGTGTAAATATAAGAAAAAGTTACAGAAAGGAAAATGTTTTTTCCCAGGCCTGCCCTTTATAATACATGTACTAGCACAATTGTGTTGTAGTATATATAAAATTGAAAATAAAGAGACAAAAATAATGAAACAGAAAACCCAATACTTGCAATTTTATGTTGTTCTCAACATGAAATTAAACAAAAATATCAAATATACATCCAAAATAAATCGGAAAAAAAAAGTTATTAATTAAAAAGCCTTTTCATTTGTGAATTTCTTTATATACCAGATAGGAATAACCATCAAAGATACATTTTAGTAAGTATATTGTTATACTAAATAGGAAATTAAAAAAACAAACATACATACATACATACATAGAAAAACAATCAAGCGAAAAAGCCTTTTTATTTGTCAAATTCCTTATTTATCAGATTTTGAACAACTATAAAAGATATTTTTAACTTAAAATTTTGTTACATTTAATTATCAAATTAACAGGAGCAGAAAATTGACGATGTTTGGAAGGGACCCGCTTGCACATTTTCGTGATATATATTATTTGATATAGACAAAACAATTATACATTTAAGTTTTATTAAACCTTTAATATATCAATTGTCATCTAAATCCTAACACAAAAATTAATCGGCCAATTTTCACAAAAAAAATGATATGTTTTATTTAGAATAATAAAAGCCTTATCTTTCATTGCTTTATTATGTTAGTTCCTAAAAAAAAATGTGCAGCATATAAAGTTTACTACATTGTTACCATTACATGTTACAACACTAGTTTTAGAACACTCACTCGCTAAGTTTAAACAGGTTGTAAACTGATTAACCTCAATGACTTTACGTTTTTTAACACATAATCTGTTTATATTTTATTGAACCTGTCCCTGATTTTTTAATTCAATTTTATGCACGAATTTTAAAATGTTAGCATAGGTTGAATGAACATATTTCATTCAAAGTTGTTATATGTTTTGATAAAACAAAGATAGATAGAAGAAGATGTGGTCTGAGTGCCAATGAGACAACTCTTAATCCAAGTCAAAATTTATAAAAGTAAACCATTATAGGTCAAAGTACGGTCTTCAACACGGAGCCTTGGTTCACACCGAGCAAGCTATAAAGGGCCCCAAAAATTACTGAGTAAAACCATTCAAACGGGAAATTCAAATGTCTATTTATGAAACAGACAGAGCAACAAAAGAAAACTTGTAACACACATGTATAGATTAGTTAAATGTTTGCTTTCGAACATCACTTACACAATCAAATGGTGATATGGGTTGTCAATCGGAAAGCAACTAGAAACACTATAAAACCATTTCAGGCTAGAGGTTAGCTTTCGATACC